GATGAGCTTGTGATTGTTCATCTGAAAAAGCATGCCATCGTCACATTTATTCGATTGTTTTTTCGCTCAAATCACGATGCCATCGGACCTGTCAAATCATTATTGAGGTTAAGTATACTGGGATTGAGTAATTGGAGATGAACCTGAGGTTGAGCAGTGGCCATTCAACTAAAGCCCGGCGAAGCGTTTCGCGTAATAGTCTAACGCTGGGCTGTGAGCGCGTGACGCGGCTCAACCTCGGGTACATGTGACGCGCGTGGAGTTTATCCCAAGCTGGGACGGAGTGGCGGATTTCCAGCTGGGATACGGGTTCCGAGCCGAGCTCGAGCGGCGTGATTTCTACCCGGGTAGGAGATTATGCAACTTCATAGTCTTTTTGTTAAGGTAAAATTTGGTGTAAGAAAGTAAATAGGTTTTTATATCCCTATAGATTTTCTTAGGCGTAAGATTTCTAAGTTTTTTCCGCTCGGTTTTTCTTGATTTTCCAAAGTATTCAAATTTTAAATCGATATTCTAAAAATGCATAAATATCATTCTATTCCACCCTCCACTCGAAATGGCACGACTCAATCGGAGCTGAGTTCTAAGCGTTGAGCCACAGCTCGAACTCAAGTGCCGGGTTATGCCGTCTGATGAGCGTTCGACTGTGAGCCGGTATGGAGCGGCGTGTCGCGGCGTGAACTCGGGTCAAGCGGCAAGCCGGGGCTGAGCTCGCGCTCACCCGAGGTGCGGCTGAATCCCCGGTTGAATTTCTACCCGGGTCATGTTTAGAGAGAAAAGCGGGAACGCGGGCGACACAAATTCAAAACATTAAACACNAACTCAAGTGCCGGGTTATGCCGTCTGATGAGCGTTCGACTGTGAGCCGGTATGGAGCGGCGTGTCGCGGCGTGAACTCGGGTCAAGCGGCAAGCCGAGGCTGAGCTCGCGCTCACCCGACTTGCGGCTGAATCCCCGGTTGAATTTCTACCCGGGTATAGAATCGGTNTCAGTCAGTAAAAATGAAAATTTCATTGAATTCGGGTGCAACGAGCGAGGTATCTTATTTGAAACCCGCTGATCCCTATTTTTCTCCTCTATAGCGTAGTGGGGGCACAGAGGTTCCCAGAATTCCACTCTCCTACTGTCCCTAAAGAATCTTTTTTTTTTATCGTTATTTTACATCGCTTCAACCCGATTAGGCTACACTGCGATGATGATCAAGACATTAAATGGTTAGATCGCACCATTCTACCCGGCCGGGATTTGAATTCGGAACCTTTCGCATGTGAGGCAATGAACTTACCCACTGCGCCAAACCACCGGGTCCTAAGGAATCTTATACGAAGCCTCTACTGTATCTGAAACATATTTACTTGAGACAAGTAGTTTTTCTTCAATCACTTAATTCTCGCAGGTATCTCAACTCACGTCGCCCGAGGAAGGTCTCATGCTTTAAGGGGAGACGGAACCCCTTTGTCTACATCAAATCTTACAATTGTGTTTTTTCCTACAATTATTAATTTCTACCTATGAAATTACTTTATCGACTCGATTATTGCATTGTTGAGTCAATGAAGTAGTTTAATGAATAAAAAATAATAATTGCAGGAGAAAACACAATCCTAAAGATTCATATGAACGCAGGGGTTCTGTTTCCCCTTAAGGGGTTACCGCAGTTGGGATGGACGCGCGGGTGAGTGAAGTGTGAAATAGTCAAGTTAGTGAGGTTAGTTTCGAGAGAGACGGGACATCAAACATGGCGTATGTTGGATAATGACAGACATCGCCATAGTATTTTTATCATTAATTTATTGAACAAATCAACGTTAAAACCCAATGGGACTTCGTACCCATATTATTTCGGACTTAATATAGAACAATTTAGCTTCCTTTGCTGGCTAGCACATTGTCAACAGTGTGAGGGATATGGGACAAAGTAGCGTCCATAAATATTGTGTAAAAGGCGCAATTTGAATAATTAATTGAATACGAACGAAACCATAAAAGTAGTTAGAATTGCTTTACAAATACCTTTTTAACATTTTTGATTACTATATGATAGATTTAATTCTCAAGCACATTGTCATATTTTACCCAAAAGTACTGCGGAGACCCCTTAAGGTATATCTGAAGCCAATCGGATCCAAAACTTAGTCCCTATGGATTTCTGGAAAAAATTCTAAATAAGATAATTTATTGTATTCTCATAAGTTATTGAGTTTTTCTATTCTCATGTGTTGTTGATGCAGGTCACAATAACTGTTTGAATCAAATGAGGAATACTTTCACGAAATTTCTATTTTTTAGAGTTAAATATCGTAGCAACTATGTAGCGCAAAATTTTACAAAAAATTCATCGTATTTAGAATTTTTCACTCTACCACAGATTAGTATTTTAAGGGGCGACTACTTTGAATTTTTGAAGTCGTGGACGATTGGAATGAGATTTCTCATACACTGAAGATCGATTATGTATGTCTAAAAATGAATAATTGGTGCAAAGAAATTAATGTTTATCAATTGTTTATTGTTCGTTTGCTCCGCAGATGCTTAAAATATTAAAAATAGTCCAGGGCCTCGCATTTTTTGAGCTACAGAGGTTTTGTCTTCAAAATAGAAAATTATACCATTCATGTAAAATAGCCCACAAAATGTTTCTGAAGTAATCGAGAATGTATTATAAATATTTTAAGGATAATTTTTTTGCCTGTTTTACATGAATGGCCCAAATTTTTATATTAAACAAAAAGAAATTGCCTATGTAAGAGTCAAATTGCAAAAAGCTAATGCATAATTATTATTGTATACATATGTTCAAAAATTTTGAAAAAAACCTCTGTAGCTCAAAAATTTGAGGTCCAACAATTAATTTGTTTGCACTAATTATTCGTTTTTAGACGTATATAATCGATCTTCAGTACATGAGAAATCTCTTTATCATATCTTTTTGATGTTCATCACATTTCTATTTGTCCGTAAAATTACATTTTGTTCGGTAATTTGTAGGGGAGAGTAAGGCAAAACGGACCACTGACAGAAAATTGGTAATTTTTTTTTCTTTCCTTCAAATCAGGAACACTGAATGTGTTGAGTTAAAAATGAGTTTCTTGGATCGTAACCGTCACAGGGGTTTTATAGACAAGAAGTGTCGTCACATTTCTACGAATTTTCATCTAAAATTAAGAAATCGAAAAAAATCACGATTACAAACTTTCATTGGGAA